TGCGGTTTAAAGCTCATCTAATTAAATCTATATTGTTCTTTGCTCTATCTGACGGGGCGTTCACTGTCCTCAGAGTCCAGTGTTAGTTAGGGTGATGCAGCAGGTCGGGACAGGCTTCGAATGATTAGATTGGGCTCCTGTCTTGCTACCGCGCCACCTAAAAACAAAAACATATTAAAGTACAAAGTTTCAACAACTCGTTAATTTCAACCTCAATATACTTTAAACTAAATTAAGCTGAGGGATATGATAAAAAACGTCCATTTCATTTAGCATATAAAGTAATTAGCTCCACCGTTACCAGCTGCAACACTAACGTGATTAACATATTAATGCGTCAATATCTATAATTACTTTATATATTGTAAATTATTCAGAAATTCAGCAAAATTGGGTGTTTTTCCTCAAGTATATAATGATGTTAATACTTTTGCACTCGTACGTAATTCAATATTTGGATGCAAGAACTTTACGTGTACCAGTGTGTCTGAGCCCTTCTTCCCTGTTCTAACCCTTTCTGTTCAGTAGAATAATCTGATGCACCGCATGACTACTGGGCATCCTTTGATCCCTGGCCGCATGCTGCCAGAGCTAACTTTCCACTGTTTCACTGTAAAATGCTCCCCCCAGGATTCATACACATAAAACAGTTCAACAAAAAGGCAATTTATAAGAAAATGCATTTCCAAACACAGTGGGGTTTCCTTTGGCCGTCAGATTTAATTACATGGGTTTTACTGTTTAGTATTAGTTTACAGCTTATTTCCTGTTTGTCCTCTTGGCCCCATCATTCACACGATTATAGAATTAGGGTTTCTGAGCCAACTGTGCCTGGCAGAGAGCAAGACGGTTGATATGGCCGATGGGAGCAGTTATTATGCCTGATTGTGGAATCTTTCGGGCATTAAAGGAGAGCTTACTAAATAAAGCTTTATGATGAGCATTCACAAGTCTGTCGGCCCTGTTTTGCATGAGAGTGTTGCAATAAAAAAGGAGAAGATTTACCATAAGACTGAGTTTTAGCCTCTATAAATACCACGCCTTAAACTAAATCCATTTTGTGTTATTTCCTCTGTTGTGGCCACTGTGACTCAGAGCGAGTCTGGCCTTACCTTTGTAGTCTTTACTTTGTTCCCAGAGATGCATGACCATCCAGTGAGGTCTGGGAGAGCCCGGCAGTCTTCCCCATCTAGACAAGGCTCCATTTTACACCACCACTTCTGACGAACAATGGAGGCTGGAAAGAATCACACCACAGCCGAAGGTCACTTTAAAGAAAGGACTTCAAAATACACTTGTTTGGTAAAAGCATAGACTGCAGGGGAAAAATACATCTCAATCAGATGTCAACTTCTCAAATACCCCTTAATCAGTGGACTCTGCTGAAACTGACTGTACTCTTAACAATAATATATTCATGTCATGCCGGAGTATTTCAGGTTGAGAGAGGAAGAAGAGGGTCCCAGTAATATTACCTTCAACACAAGAGGGCAGAGCTCTTGTTGTCCCTGCCACCTGTCCTGGGAAGCACGAGCACTTGACTGTTTGAGAGCGTTCCTCAATTTTGTTCTTGTTGCAGCAACGATGAGCAGCAACCACTTCACAAGTCCCTGTCCTCTTCTGCGATGACCCTGAAGAAGAGAATTTAGAGGAAAAGGTGACAATTTGTCATACTTTACATGTAAGTAGAGGCAACTTGAGTGACTTCAGCCGGAACAAATGACATTATTATACTCACGTTTTCTTGGCTTAGATAGTTGTTACATTTAAATAAATATGGTTACACTCGTTCAGATTGTCAGATAAGCAAAGCAGTACTTCAACCCTAGTGTTGATGTTTCTAAAGCCACAGCGCCACCAAGTGGATGAACAAACATCAGCACTCATGTCACACGAAAACCCATATACAATTTTAAAACATTTTAGCAGCCATCGGCATGTTTGGATACCTAATTGAATTTGATTCGTTTTGGATTGCCTAACTAAAGAGAAACTACAAAAATAAACCACATGAACAGAAATATCTGTCCAACATCTGCTGCTGCATTACTTTACCAAAAAAAGAAAAAATGCTTTTGGTGATAATCACACCGCTGGTGATTCATCCTGAGACACTTAAAGAGATCTTCCAAATTAAGAGGTGCAACAAAGCAGAAGTAAAAGAAAAGATAAAGGTCAAACTCATGCATGCTTGTTGTTGCTGAACCTAAAGTGCTTGATTGACCAACAACACCTGCATGGATGGAAGGTTAATTCATAAATAAAGTGTTGTTTAAAATCAGACTACAATCAAGATCAGAAATGGAACCTGTAATTATACAAAACAAAGAAACATCTCAGTTTTAATGTAACACTAAACTACTTCACTACATTTGAGTTATAAAAATTGTACTCTTTACAAAATACTGCATAGGCTTATGAAATACAATGGAATAATATGGATTAAACCAGTGGTTCATAACATTTTCCAGCTTGTGGACCCTTAAAACAATAACTGAATATATATTTGGGTTGCCTCATCTCCCAATCCCTCCTTGGAGGGGGCATGACCCCTAAAAGGTCTTAACTTTAACTTGTTATGGAGTACTTCCACATTATTTTATGGGTATTTTTACTAAGCTAAAGGATATAAATACTTCCACCACCATTGCTTTAATTGCAACAACTTAGGTATGTGGCCAATCAAATCCCTTTACATTCATTTTCTTATCTGTCTTACTACTGGGATCTGTCTAAACATCAAAAACCGACACCTTCCATATTGACTTTTGTGTCTAATGACAAGGTTTCAGGTTACGTTGCTTGAACTAAGTTCTCTATAGGCGACCATGGTGGTGACCAGGAGCCATAATGAGACCCTCAGGGGGTGAGACAGGTCTGGTTGGGTCTGACACTCACCTGTCTGTCCTCGGGAGCTTTGGTTGCCAGTGGACACAAGCTGGCTGCAGAGGCTTACTACACAAAGGAGCAGGAGGCTCCAGTGTAACGGTCGTGGCAATATGTTCAGCTTCATCTCGCCTGCACAGAGAAAGAGGCTCATGCACACTCAATCAGAATTAGACCAATATGTGGGATCATTAAGTCAATTAATATGGCTTTTTAAATGCTTCTGATATCTCTCCTGATATGTGATTCATTCAATCATTGCATCTATTTGCTCAAACGTGACTCTCACATCACTGGGCCAAGCCAAGGCAAATTAAAGAAATGCCAATAAAAGGCCGATCCGAGGCAGATGAGAGCTTGCACTCATGTCTGACTCATATTATCCCTTCAGCTGAAAACAGCTCTGTATTCAAAGCTAAACTCTCCCTCCAAAACAAGTTGTATTCCACATGAGTCACAGAAAAACTGGGACATTGACTTTGAAGCAGCAATAATGAATGCAGGACAAAGATGACAGAGTAAAACATCACTGCTCACTCAGTTTGCTTGAGGAATTTCACCAGTTATATATTGGCTATAGCTTAGAGTTGCAGGTAAAGATTATTTGTGTTCATATCAATAACTCTGCAGAAAGGCAATTTGAAACTAACAAAACAAATATTTGATTTACAATCACGTGACACAAATGATTGCGCTTAAGGAGCTGGAACCAGCAAAATGTCAAGAATTGTGCTTGAAATAATAACGATTATTCGAGCTTGATAATAGTATGCCATTCATTTTTTTGTCAATAATATGTTTCATGTTTACATTATATTGTTATGATATACATTTATATATCTTATCCTCATAAATAAAACCTTTATTCATAGTTCTGTCAGTAGCCTACACATTCACGTCTTGCATACACATAGCAAGGCTACACTACTAAAATCATCAAACAAAGTTACTCTGCCAGCCTTTAAACATTTTAGAACATCAGATATATCAAAAATAAACACAGGGCCTGTTGACATTTCCCAGACTATTGGCAGCGATTGATATTCTTAAAAAAATATGAAACTACTTACCTCTGTTCAGGTTATTGATATGCATGATAAACCACTGCTGGAGCCTCGATCGGTTTCTGGGTTTGCATCATGCATGGGCTACTCTATAAAACTATCGTTTCGGGAAGGATGCGAAAGTTTAGTGTAGATATGATCCTCCATTTTCAGATTTTTTCTTTCCCAATTAAGAGAACGAGGGAGGAAAAATAACGCCCCAGCTGATACAGCCAACACGTCGGTTCACAGAAACCCTACACCTTTACACCTCAGCTGCTCTACCTGCAGAAACTACTCTCACAAACAGGATGTGAAGTGACAGATATGTTGTTCTGTGAACACAGCGGCATCCCTCCGAGCCTGGCAGCTTTAACCGTCGGGAAATTTAAAACTTAATCAAGAGAGAGAAACCATCTGTCCCCCGGACAATGTGCGGCCACTTTCATTAGCGCCATAAGAAGCTTAAAGTGCGGAGCGACATGTCACAAAGCGGACAGAGGGAGAAACGGAGAGGCCGAGTAATCTTCTCACGAGATATGTCATGCCTTCCCCTTAAGATAACATTTGAAAAACAGCTTTTTTTATTATTAGTATTTGGCTGTCATTTTGCCAAACAGCAAAGGTGAGATGACACACCCTGTTTGTTTGGTTCAAGCTCCCGGAATGAAATTTTTATTTTGCAAACCCACTAATGAAGCAAATCACACCACTCAAACTAAATATAAAACTGAGGTATCATTGGTTTTTTAATTAAGTCTCACTAGAAACGTACATTAATTGTTCATAAAATAGTTTGAATTGCTAAGTGATTCATATTAGAAGATTGAAACTAATTTAAGATTTTTAAATTCAATATAACAAGGATATTAGTTTTTGTTTTTTTGTTCTTTACTTAAGACTTCCTATGTTTAGTTGCTTTTTTGATACATTAAAGATAACCAGTGAAGCATCCTTTCAATTCTGTTGCTGCCATAACAAGTGAATTTCCCTGGATAAATAAAGGTCAATCTTATCTTCATTGCTTCTAAGTAAACAGATGTTACCAAACAATCTGGCGAAAGAGGAAACCTTTATAACCACAATAATACAACTTTATTAGAGATTATTATTCTCATTAGATTGACAGGGAAATAGCTACAACAGAAGTCAAAACATCACATATACATCATTAAGTTAACAACGTTACAAATAGAACAAAAAAATCGGTAAGGACTTCATATTCAATCCTGGAGGTCAGACCTCAGTCAATATCTACATCGTGGTATCAAATGTGCTGCTGCAACATCACAGAAACCCAGTGTTTGGATTCGGATGCAGTCACTTTGACATCAGTGCTGAGTGTTCAGGTGGTGAAATTGAGCTTGAAGAGAACCGTTTGGGGTGTGGTGACATCTGCCACCGCCAGCTCCTGTCCATCAGACAGGCCTAGCTCTGCAACAGGAGAGACAAATCATTTTATATGATAGGTTTCAAAGATAGTCAGAAGCTACAACTCACTTAGGACTGACAGGGAATAATTCAGGTTACCTTTCAAAGTCTTGCAGAGGTTTGGCCTGGTACGTTCCTCGATGGATTTAACAGACTGGGATACAAATGTTTTCGTAGTTTAATTGTGGTTTATAATGAAATGTAGCTGACAAAACATCAAACAGCATTCTCAGGTACTCAATTATGTATATTACCTGCAAATACAGCGTCTTATTCTTCCCTTCAAGAGTTGTGGTGATAGCCGGAGATTTCATTTGTCTGTAAAGAATGAACGTTTAATCAGTCAGTGTAGTATATTGTGTAGTATAGTGTTTTATTCCAAATACTTACAGAGAGGCATTTTCTGTTAGGTACTCTAAAACCTCCTGTAATTTGGCCGAAGGAGGGAACTGGAGATCCTGAGGCACCTGGCTGCAGGCTGAACAGTTTTCCTGCCGATCAAATATGATTATTATTCTCCGTACACAGTGAATACAACGATTGCTGACAACATGGTCACTGGTGGTATCGGTTATTGAGACAACAAACCTTTCGTTCAGCTTCAAAAGTGTAGGTGTACAGTCCGTCCACATCATTGAAGACCAGGTAATTATTTAAATGAATATATGCGCTAAAAAATAAAATCTGAGGTTAAGGGATGTTCATTTGACCAATCAACTGGGCTGAGAGATTAAATTCTGCTTCTTACCTTGTAGCAATTTTAAAAACTTCAGTGGCACAGGCAGCTAAGGAGAAAAACACAAACAAAATTAAAGAGGCCTTATTATGCTTTTTGTAAAATAGAGACGTAACTATGTAACACTAGCGCTTCTATTGGCTTGCGAGATCTCCAAGCGGTTGGCCAATCTCAATAGAGCCGGCCAGCTAACCAATAAGAGCAGACTGGACTCTGGTTTCAGACAGAGGGTAAAAAGAGGTGCTGCAGCACACAGGCAGTATGAGAAAAAAATATATATAAACCTGAATATGAGCATCAAAGGGCCACTTTCAGTTGTGTGCACTATGCAATTGTTTCGATACAATATACTGTATATTGAATGTCTTCTCCAAAAAGAAATGTCCACAACTGGAACTAGATACAGCAGGCTTCTCAAATAATGAATTCTTCACATGTCAAACACATTTTTGCACAAGCAAAACAGTAAGGAATAAATTGAACCGTGTAACTTTCTTTAATGTACTATTTAATTAACTTAAATAGTACCTTATATAACTACAAGGAATAGTTTGATGCACAGATATAAGAAGCGTGTTTTATGTCTGCATCAATTTACAACAACATTTCAGCTAGCTTGACAGTAATAGTATCCGTAACTACAGGGGGCTTAGCCAACAGCCTACTTATTTTGAAATTGCAGCAAAGATACGTCATTAATGTTTTCATGTATTTCCTTTCTGTCAACATGTCTGAACAGCAGGCCTCAAAAACATCAGAGTGTCATACCAGCGATGACAGCATTAGTCGATGCCACAGCAGGAATGATCCTCTTCACAACTCCTGTCGCACAAAAACAGTCACACGTTTAATTCCAGCACACAGTTATACATACTTGTGAACTCGAGAGTAGTCCATTTTAATGAAACACATTATCAGGGAAAAACTAGCTAATTTATTACATTAGCATTGAATAAATTATTGTCTTTTACATTTACAAGTTCACCTTGAGTGAGTCGGTATGTCACTCCTGTAATGTCGAACTCTGCAGCTCTTTCTTGGGCTCTTTCAAACACCCACGCGATGTGCTCTGGATTGTCTCCATCTAAGCAGGTATCTGGTTGAGGAAAAGACTCTCGTAGTTAGCGTAAATTGTTATGTGATGTAATTGTAATAATTTGCACAGATCGAAGGTTAAGTAACGTGATTAGATTTGTTAAAAACAGGTAAGAACATGTGAGCTTACCTCCAAATGGCTTTTCTTTCGGCCACTGTAAGATTCGGGCATATTCAATGCAATGCTCTGGTAGCCGAGGCATTGACGCAATAGTGCACATGGGGAAGTTAATCTGTGGAGAGAAAGACATTTAAGTCAAGCACAAATGCATTTATAGGAGCGGTAGAAGCCCATTTTCTGCTCTACACAGTGAAATCAAACAGCTACAATATTAAAACTATAAAGTTACATGAGGAAGTACAATTCTTACTGTTTTTATAGTTTATTTTCTGTGTTTTGATAAGATCTTAAGTGCTAAATAGTCACTGCTGTGCTGGTGGCAGCTATGAATACTTCCCCCCCCAACTAACAGCTGTTGCTGCTGATGGAAATGTTAAATATCTCCTCCTGTGCACCACAGATGCTGTCTCCCCCCCAAAAGACAAGTTCAACAACAGATCTTATGATTCAAATAACAGAAGAATTGTTTTTTTCTCTAATCATACAAATATTTGTATGTGAAACTAGAAGACGAATAGTGACCTGTGGCGGGTACAGCCCCAGTGTGCAGTCGATGCATGCGGTCATGCCGGGCAGAATGACCCGGGCGTTTCCTTTAAAGCCCTCCGTTCCTCCGTCTATCAGGGGGATGATGGAGCTGGGGTCCAGGACTCCGTCTTCATAGCTCAGGAGGGATATCTGGAGAAGGTAACGTCAATCATTGCCAGTGCTGGGGAGTGCTGAACTACATGTAATTCAAATTTTACATATAGTTTGATAGGATGCATAATTGCTACATTTTCAAAGTAACATCCCCAACACTGATCTAACTCACCACTAGTTACACTAATACCCTCCTAATATGCAGAGGTATATTAAGGTCAAATATTTTGCCTACCAGCATCCCGTTCATCCAGCGTCTGGCTATGATGGAGTCCAGTCCACAGACGATGATGTGAAACTCTGGGAAAAGATGAGCATTTTAAACCTCTGACAAACTTCCTCTGTAAACTAAACTGAAGTATAGATTGTGTAAGTGTAACAGAGGTGATCTTTGGGGCCATAGATCTCGGCCTCCGTTACGAATTGTGTAGTTTTGTTGGTGGCGAAATGTATGTAGTGTGTGCATCGGTATGTGTTTTTAGTTTGTCTGTCTCTGTTTGCTGGTTTTATGTTGAAAAGTGTTCCCCTTTCCCTAGGTCTGTTGCTGTTGATTGTGTGTATCTGGTGCCCTGTGTTGTCTCCTCCCCCCCCCACCTGTGTCTAATTGCTGATTAGTGTGTGTGTATTTAGGCTCTGTTGCCCTGTCTGTTTTGGGGCTGGTAGTGTGTGTGAGATCCTTGTGGCTGGTGACTGTGCAATTGTCGGCTTCACAGTAAGAAAAGCACTCACGCCTGTAGAAAGACTCGTCAAAGTCTTGGATCTTCTTAAAGTGACTGCATGTTATTTATAAGGAAAAAATACCACAGTTGAGATATTTTATACACTGTAAACTATATCTGATATGTTTTTCAGCTGTGAAAACCGTGGATGGAAAGGATACGGGACAACTCTACATCCAGGGATACGACTGTTGATGAAGTCGGCAGCCACTTCTGCCTTTGGTCGTCCAACATCTTTGGGCCTAATTGGATGCAAAAAACTATTATTAATTAGAGGACATTTGATATGCTTAATTTGATTTAAATTGATTAAATCTCTCAGCTGCAGAGGACATGGTATTTTTCCTTTATTTTCAATCGAGGGCTATAAGCTAATCATCTCATGTACTCTTCATTGTTAAAACCATTAAATCATTTAATTAATTTTTTTACCACACAATGCATTTCTTAAATAATACACTACTGTGAAAACTGTAATATTGAGGAAAAGCCTACCTGAAAAGAAACTGCCTGTTGAGGTTGGACAAATCAATCGTGTCCATGTCGACCACATGAATCAGACGAAACCCAGAGAGGCCCTAAAGCACAACAAGATTTAGAAAGCAAATACATTTGATTTCTCAGCTTACACTTCAGAAGTAAGTCCATTTAACATAAATTAAAGGTATTTCCTACCAGATTTTTGAGGAGTTCACACCCAAGTCCTCCTGCACCAATGACAAGAATCTTGCACGTCTCCAACAAGAACTGTAGAGACTGAGATAAAAGAAACACCACAATAATAAAGAAATGAAAATATACTGCGATTTGAAATATCTCAGTCACTAGACAATGTAAATATATAAGCTTTCTCACTAACTGATTCAGTTTAAGATGTTAAAATACTGATCTCTATTATTATGATCTTTTGCTATGAAAGTATTTCGGTTACCTCAGTGCTTGGCTCAAAGTCAGGATGGGTGAACGGTCCAGGTCGCTCCAAAAACTTCCTCACATGATTCCACCGGCCATCCCAGTCGCAACCAGCGTCCCCGTGTCCTCCAACTACAGCCATTCTGGACACACAACACACTGAGATATACTGACCTTGCACCATAACTTAGATCAGTACATTTCTGCCTACTTGTTTCTCTAGAAATGCCATAATCCACTTATTACACACATTTGTAACTAGGATGTGTGAAGAAGGCTGTGAAAGAAAGCAGTTGGCAGCATTTAAAACTGTTATTTTGTGGATAGTTTGGTTATTTAAATGAAGACAACTTTAATATTTTGAGATTACACAATTTAGAAGTTTTGACTGTCTGGTTGGATAGTGGTTCCCACAATGTTAGTCAGCACCACCACAAGGCATTGAGAGGCCACAAGATTGTATCCTACATAGGAAATAGTAGTAAATACTTCTGCAAACAAAGTTTATTAAGAAATCCCATTTTCCTGAGAATCCTCATTAACAGGTGCCTTGTCCCATTTCCACAATACATACCAATTGAATGCAATATGAACTATACTTGCATTTAAAAATAAGAAATCAATATAGTTAATGGATTATACCAACAGGAACATTGTAAATACCTGACTTGTTAGACATGAATATGCATATTTGGACTGTCATTATCATATGAACTTGATGTTTCATACACTTTCAGTAGCTGCTCCATTTGTACTTTGTGCATTGCATTGAGGGCCATGTTTGTATCACATGTTGTAATGTTATGTTTAATTGTTTGAGTTTGCTTTGCGCTCTACATACTCAAAACCTGTTTAGGGTTAGTATGTAGTATGAAGTTCGTACAAAGTTTTAGTTGGATTGTTATTCCGGATGTGCCTTGTAAGGAGGATGCAGGATTGGTGCAGTCAGTGCAGGGTGTCTGCGTTATGTTTGGTATTGTGAATGGATACGCTGTGTAAACGAAGACATTTTACAAACAACCAGATGGGTTTCTAAGGCTGTCCCTTGCAGAAATGTTTTATTTTACATGTCTCCTGGCCCAGCAGTCGCGGCTCAAACCTGCTGCCAGTCAGAGACCTTTATTTAGCATTCGTCACTAACTTCTCAGTCACGTCCTCTATTCGCCTTCTTTTCTTCTCCCTGCAAGAACAGAGTAAAACAGGGTTCAAGCATGCCGGGTTAACGACAAACGGCGCGGGTTAAACTACGATTAAATTATGTTTTTAGTCCATTGAGACTTACGGCTCCTCGGCATCCGCCATACTTTCACGGTCCCATGTCCTCGATTGTGTCTGCCATGTTTCCGAGGGTCAAACATGCACACTCTGCGCAAAGGACCCAAAGGCCATATGGAGCAATGTATTATTCTACTCGAACCCAACTAACTGATCTTTAAATGTGTCCATGTTTAAGGTAAAGGTCTCGTGTCAGATTATATATTGAGTTCACAAGGTGAATCAAATGTTATTTATATATATATAAAATGTGCTAGATTGTGCCATACAAAATACTGATACAACTAAGTGATTTAATAAGAAAAAAAGAGAACACAAAACCTTAAATATTGTATGTAGCCTATTCACAAAAGGTTACATTTAAGAATTTAAATACATTTAAATATCAATGATTTCCCCTAAAAATAACTAATAAATCTTGTTTTTACTAATTAACCTGTACGTATTTGTATATTTTAGTATTCCATTTTTTTTATTTTATTTGTCTGAATAAACAAGCTTGCTATTGTTCATAGCTACGTCAATGTTAAAATATATAACTGAAAATAAGTTAAATGTTTTTTAACAAATAAACCTGTATTGGTGTTCTTTTAATTGTATTTGTCTAAATAAACAACTCCAGCTATTGTTTCTTAAATCCCTATATGATCATTCTTCTTTTTTAAATGTTATGTGTACACTGTAATCATCAAGGAAATCTGCGCATTCTAGAACGCAAGTGTAAAACGCTTGAGACTTTAGCTCTCGTGAGATTTCGAGCGAGAGTACGCCTTGTTGTTAAGACGGTGATCAGCTGGCCTGTCAAAAATATTACGCAGCTAGCTCCTGTGGGTATGCTGTTATAGTCACTTCACTACACGTTGAAGACATGACAGCCAAAATGGAGCTTGCACCCCTCAGACAGTGGGATGATTTCTACCCCGGGACGGACCGGTTCGCCAAACCCGAGTTTGGAGATTTAACGAAGTGGAACAACAGAGTGATCAGTAATCTGATGTACTACCAGACCAATTATTTCGCGGCGGCTGTGGTGGTTTTCCTCATTGTAGGGTAAGTCATGGTAGCATGCTAAAGGGGCTAGCTAGCATCTATGGTTGGGTGTGTAATTAGCCTGCATACCTTCTACCCACCACGCCCATGACCACTGATGCTATTTCTGTAACTATTTCTGTAACTATTGTATTGTTGAGGCGATCTTTGAGGCACTTCCATTTAAAGCCTTTATATTTCTTCTTCTAGGCCTATAGCAAATTTCTTTTTAAATGTCCACATATTCAGTAGCATCAACTATCAGTTAAATAATAACTTTTGAGCTAACGTTAGATGTTTGCAAGTGATCACCCTTCGTCTCTGTAGTCTGTGTATTAAAATAAATGTTACTTACCGAGGTTTTAAGTTTGTTTGAGAAGCTACATTGGATCTTGGATCTCCTACCGTCAGTTATCAATTCAAGAATGTCTTTATTTTCTGTGCGTCTTTCAAGCTGGTTTGGTAATTGTCTTTGAATAGTTCATGATGTATTGATTAGTACAGGCCTTAATGCAGGCATATGCCCTCTTTTGGTTCATACCAGCTGTCAGGATGTTAGCAATTGTTATTGTTACCACTAGGTTGTGCTATTAAAACAATGCCAACACCTTCATGTACAATATGCCACTTTCCTGTTACAATATTCAGGTTCCTGAACCCATTTGGCATGTTTCTGGGAGGAGTTGTGGTGGCTCTGGTCTTCATGGGCTCAGTGTGGGCCGGAGAGAACCAGGCCATGGTGAAGAACTTCAAGAAGAAGAACCCATCGGTGTTTGTCATCTGTGTAATGGGCACCAGCTACTTCCTGCTGTCGCTGTGTGGAGGCGTCCTGGTCTTCATGTTTGGCATCACCTTCCCCTTGCTGTGTAAGTCACGTTGTTTACTTTCAAAAAAATAAGTTTTCAAAGAAGACATCTTATTCATGCTGTCAGAGAGCCCTCCTTATCATGCAGTGCACTACATTCACTTTCCCAAATGTTATATAAATACGAAATATATGCTCTATTTAATGTCCTTATAAATTCCCATGGTGCAAGTTTGCTGAGTTGTTCAGGAGATGGATTTTAATTGTTACCATATGAATATGGAATTGTTGTCATGTGACAACACAACAATTCTGTTTCCAAGATCAATATTGAGCAAGTTTGATGTTGTTCTTTAAGAAAAAAAGGTTTTTGCCATTGTTGCCACAATCTCTACTGTAGCTGCTTGACCTGGGAAATAAAAGGCACGAACACAACAAAATATAACATGGAAACTTTGAGCTGTGTCGTTCTTCATTGTTTTCTTTAGGTTCCCACACACTCCCTCTTGTGGTTTTAGGGCATGGCTCTTGTACAATTAGATGTATTCACACACACATTCCTTTCTCTCCTTCTGTATGCTCTGCGATTTTGATACAAAAGATTTGCTAACTTTAAGGCATCAAATAAATTCCCTGCTTGACACCTGTTATTTTACAAGCAATTCACGTCACAACACATTCATTTAACAGATGTGACACAGATATTAATTCACTCATTCATTCATACACACTAGTGCGCATCATTATAGATTTAGTGCTTGGCCTAACCTGATTAAAATTATAACCTTCGTTCCCTACGGTATATCCAAAACAGTCATTGGCTAATGTTATATGTTAAAGGTCCCGTGTCATGCTTTTCCGGTTATTACCCGTCCCCTTGTGTGTTATGAAGGTTTTTATGCATGTGACGTTACGACGACCCAAATGGACCCATTGGTCCAAATGGACCAATCTCTGGAGCTCCTCACACACGCACACACTCTTTTGGGGGGTGATGGTGGAGCCTGGCAGAGCGGCGAAACTGTGGTGTGCTTACACTGTAGGTGCGCTGCCTTTGGGGGTGCGATGCGGGCGCTAGTGGAGCCTCGCAGATTGAGCTGCTGCAGCCCTCTCAGCACCACCCCCCCCCCCTTCCCGCGTCCATTCGCGATGTCTCGTAGCAAGCAGGAAACCACACCAGTAAGCCAGCTCGCACGGTCAGCTCCTCGTAGCAGCGAGCTGACCAATCAGAGCACACTGGGCTCACAGGGAGGGGGGGGGGGGGGCAGGAGCTCCAACAAGGCGTTTAGGATAGAGAGTGAAATTCAGTGAATACACATACTATACAGAGATGCTGTATAAGAAAACCAATGTGAGTTTGGAAAATTGCCTAATGTAAATATATTCTAGTATACCTCAACAATGGAATTATGATCAGTAGAAATGGCCATGACATGGGACCTTTAAACTGTTGGGGAAGATGGTGACTCACACAGGGTTGAGTAAAAGAGGTTTTCCTGTGGGTGAACAAGTTTTTCCAAGCAAACTCTCATTCTGACTCACTGTAGGGATTGAACAGCATGTACAGTGTTACTGACAGGCATTCACTCATGACACAGATTGCAAAAATAAAGTCAGCATTACACATCGAGCTGTACTGTCGTTCAGATGAATGATTGTGGGTTTGCTTCAGCCTGCTAAACACATTTTGAGTCAGGGTGGTTTAGTTAATGGATTGGTTGGATCATTAGAGCAAATGTAGCCACTCCAACATCATGGCCGATAGGTGAAACGGTTTGATCGCTTCCCAAGAGGCCTGCCTGCTGCGGCTTGTGTTGAGGGGTTGCTATGGGTTGTTGATTTGGACACAACTACATTTACTTGCTGATGTCATGCACTCAGTATCTGCCTGCCATGGGAATAAAAGACACTTTGACCCCTTCTCCTGCTTTAGTTGCAACAGTAACACATTTTAGTTTTCCTATTTTCCTTAGCTGTATTCCAGTTAAAAATCAGATATTAAGGTTGAGACACTGAAATGTATATCTAAAACCTCACATGTTGTTGTTTTTTTTTTTTAAATGTAGTAATTCTGATCCATGCCTCTCTGAGACTGCGCAACATGAAGAACAAAATGGAGAACAAGATTGAGGGTGTTGGGCTGAAGAAGACCCCCATGGGCATCATCATGGATCTCCTGGATCAGCAGGAGGAGAAAATAAACAAGATTCAGGATTTCCTTGAAAGCAAAATGAAAGATTAAGGCTATAATCAAACGTGTGCCAAGGGGAGTTGGTATCATACAGCATGGATTAAAACATCCTTAGCATAGTCCCATGTGTGGAGTTTTTTTTACCCTGTAAACATGTCATGTTACTGATGTTGGCATTCCCATATTTTATATCCATTTTGGTTTACTTAATTCTCTTATACTTTACTCACAGATAGATGGTAACATTATAACATGATTTGCACAATCACAGCGTGGATTGGATGTTGAAAGACAATGGGCACCAAAAAAAAGTTACCAAAGGTCATTCATTTGTAAAAAAAACTAATGTTCCTAAAACACATTATTATCCTTGTCCACAACGCACTTTGTTCCACATGACGACTGACTTTGTATTTCAGAAAATGAAGCAGAATGTCTGAACACAATGTCTAGTGTCAATTGTGTTTGTTTAAAAAAATAATCAGATGCTTGCAGTTTGCTACCTCAAAACAAGCATGTTTGATTCACCCAGTGAACTGTTAAATGCTTATTAAACAGCAATAACTACCGTTGTGTCACTCCAGGAGCTGAATACTGATATGAGACCTGTTTGTAGAAAGAATTATGTGGTCATGGAAATTTAAATATTCCTAATCTCAAAAGATGTGTGTGCACACTTCTTGACCTTGCAGGCTGGCCTGAGTGTTCTGATCAAAGCTATGCAATATTGAAAAATGAATGGCAAGTGCAGTTTTATTGTTTGAATATTATGTCATGATTTGTACATGTTTGTTGATTCTGATGCGTCTTTATTTCCATGATATGGCATGCGGAAATATATAAAATGGCTACGGGATACAATCATATTTAAATTAATAAAATTGCCCTATTTTCCCCGTTTCCTGTTAGGAAGAAATCCATTTTCGGTTTGAAAAAAATAGGAATTCCAAATTCAGTGTGTCATCTGTAATGTTAAGTGTTTGTTTTATACTGAAAGTATGAGCAATTTCCTGTTGCTTTTATATATATGCAGATTAGCTGTTTGTTTGTGGTACTTTCACAGATGGCAGTTCAGGAAGATTGTTTATGTTACACGGATGCTAAATTATATATGTTCTGATGTTATGCAACTGTTTCATTCTTGACAGTGATGATTAATTCACAGAACTTGACTTAAAACATGGCAGTCCTATATAGAAATAAAGATAACCTGATTTATGTTGCATTCTTGTCCCTATTCATTCTAGGTATAGAAATATATTTAACATCAAACACAGTTGTTTTGGCTTTATTTGGGTTACATCTCTGTGGGAAACAAAGTGATAGATTGTAGAATATTACTGAAATTAAAAGCTTATTTATAACCCTAATGAATATCCCCTTGTGGATTATACAAACTTATTTCAGTTTGACTAATTAACTCTAAAATCTGAACGGCAATGATTCTCAGGGGATCCATTTACTTTGGACACAGATATATTCCTTATAATACAAATGAAAAAGAAGGGAAGAAAGAGAAACCCAGGCAAAGAGAAGATTTTTTTATAACAAAAAGTAAATATATTGAACAGGATTGCTCGAGAGTACATCCAACATTAATCAAACAAACCTATAAACCTACATTTATTTTAACAAGCAATGTCAAGAAATATATGAGCAACGGCAAAAGCTTAATATGGGGCATTCTTACTCATTTATAGCTTTTTTATAAGTTACTAAAGCAACATCATTTAGTGTGCTAACAAGAGTGGAATAACAACCATCCAATATTTATTTTTGTGTAATAAAAGTATGGTTTCACTCTTATTTTGCAGTTAATTATATAATATATGTAAAATAAACACACATTATGGTGAAGAAAACCAACAGTTTCAGCCTCAGAAGAGACTTGTTTCAGCCGATTCCAATCCTTTGGGGAGCGGCACCTGCAAGCAGCGACAAAGAAAATAATAAAAAGATGATTAAGATTTCCAGAAGGTGTACACAACAACACACAGACAACAATTTATACGCTTTTAAACAAGTGAGAGAATATATTCATATGGCACACACTCTTCTGATCTGAGAAATGTAACACCGTCAACAGTACATTTTCAAACGGTTAAATTACTGATCAACACAAATTTAGCTCGCATTACAACCTCTTGTATACTCACATTTTTCAGATACGCCACGTTGCTCTTTTTTATTTCACTCAGCAGATTATCACGGGGTGTGAAGTCAATTTTAGCTGGCTCTCGTTTGCGAGGGACGGGCTTCAAAGTCTTAATCACTTCAGTCAGGTTTGGTCTTTCATCTATCACCTCTCCATCCTCTACATCCATCGCCCGGTGAGTTTTCTTCAGTTGGAAATGAGCTGGCTGGGGTCTCTTGTTATCCCTCGGGTCCAGGTCCAGAAAAGGGTCACGTTTCTTGGGAGTCCTCTTCAGCTGGACGTCCCTCAAAGAGCCTGCTGGTTCGGCACTGGGTTGTTTGGGAGTGCTGTTTTTTTTCACCTTCTTCTGGGGCTCTTGTTGTTTTGTCTCGCGCTGCGTTTGAGGTTCCCTGCTCGGTTCAGACGAGGGGGGGACAAACCCGTGCTCCTGCAGGAGTTCCATAGACGGTACATACCCGAGCATCTCAAGCAAACCAGGAGGCAGGTTTAGACTGTTCTCATACATCTGCATCATCTTCTTCTGCTCCATGGCCTGCTGCTGCTTCTGATCCTCCTTCCTCAGCTGCCTCTGGCGGTCCAGATTCCGGGTCAAAAGGTTGGTCACCACCATCCTGGGCCCCGCCTGCTCAAAGTGGTAGCCCATCTTCAGTAGGGTGTTGTTGGCCTTGAGCAGGCGTGAGATCTCCATCTCTGCGTGGTGACCCAGCATGTGCCTCTGGTTGTGAAAACGCAGCTCTGTGAGGGTCTCGTTGAATTGGAGGCAGCGGATGATGGCCACGATGCCCTTTCCGGTTACAAAGTTAGACTCGATGTTCAAAGTGGTAATGCTTCGATTCTCTCGTAACATGTTAGCCAGGTGGAAAGATATATTTTCATCCACACCGGTGTTGGCTATGCTGAATGTTTTCACTTGTCTGTTCTTCTTCAAAGCGTTGACGTAGTCTAAGAGCATCTCTTTGGGAATGTTTTCTATGTTGTTTAAATTAATCTCAGTGATAGAGGGGTTGTTGTTGCGGACTTTGTCAAGAGTCGTCTCCAAGTTTGTCTCATTTCCTGAGGGTCTTGATGTCATTTTTATATTATTGAATGCTAGCTTCGGTATATTTAATTTGTTAATTTTTCTTTCTTCTTTCTGCGGGAGCAAATCATTGATTTCTTTTATCTCCGGCTCCTCTGCTGCCTCTTTGGGAAGCGAAGACTCTGTAGTTTTAATTTCCTCTTTCTCTTCAACTTGTGATGTGCCGGGCCTTTGGGCTACGCTCTCAGTCTTCTCCTTTGTGTCTGATAAAGGCTGATTGTCATCTGTATTGTTTTCCGATAAATGTTCCGTGTTAGTGTCTAGATGATCTACATGCTTGTTTATATTTTCATGGTTTTCTGTTTTTATCTCTTCTTCATCTTTTGTATCCACTAGTTTTTCCTTTTCATCCGCTTCATCTACTTCATCCGACTCGTCAACGACTTCAACAATTTCCTCAATGATCTCCTCTATAATTTCCTCTCCATCTGTACCATCTACAACTTCTTCCTCAATGACTTCCTCTATCACTTCATACTCCACCACGTCTTCTTCTTCTTCTTCTTCTTCTTCTTCTTTCTTTTCCTTTTCCTCCCTTAAAGTTCTCTGATTAAAAACAACATCAGGCAAAAGTTAGAAATCCTGCCTTTAACATCTACCAAGTAGGGACTGTATGGTTCTTAAGTCAGTACAATATCTTAAATTGATCTGTACCCAACCATTTGAGATGTTGACCTCTTACCTCACTGGGCAGCAGAGTAGTAGGCAATCTTTCTTCCTCTAGCATACGGTTGGACTCTTTCTCCCAGTAGAGGTAACCAACCAGCGATCGGTGGTCAAACGTCCCTGTTGGAAGTTTTTCCGTCTGGTCCTTTTGTCTCTGGCCCACCGGTACCCTCTCATCTGGGGCGATAATAACATCCATTTCACTCTGGAGCTCCTTAAGCTCCTCTGGCGAAAGCATAGCAAGAAGTTCATCCTCATCAATATCCTCTTCATTGAGATCCTCAAGGTCTTTACTGTTTGACATATTTGCTTCTTTCTTCTACTGAAATCAAAAATGAAGTATAACCTATAGGCTATGTCCAATCTATGACTCAGGACAGAGCGAACTGAGAAGCCTCTGACTTTGACTTCAGCTAGGAACTGTTGGCTCCTGCCGCATGTGGAGTCTAAAATTAAACACTGTGAAAGGCATGGAAGATATTTAAAATACAAGCAGTGAGCAAACTACATTCTTCTTTCAGCCCCTGCTCCCAGCTGGCCTGGCTGTCAGGATCTTTTGGGATGACAGCTGCTTCAGGAAAAGTGTGGGATTGACAGCAGCAGGTGGACCATTTAAACGGGGCCGGTGGCGAGCACAGCTCCTCCCCGTCTCCCAGAGCTCATAACCTCTGAAGCGCTGCACAACAAACAAATGAGATCCAGCCAGAAGCGGTAATCAAGAAGTAATTTCTCAATAGGGAAATGGATACTAACATTGTAGGGAAAGCATTTTCTTCTCTCAGAGTTTTTTTTAGATCATTACTCAAAGCAGTTTTAAATGTTGCTAGTTTAAATTACCTGGTGCCATGACTTTACAGATTATTTATACAAGAAATACAAATCTAGGAGTAAAATTATAAGAGGAGTTTGACCTATTGAAAAATATTCTTATCTCTTAACCAGGCTAAATGCTACTTTGGTTCCAGTCTTTATGCTAAGCTAAGCTAACAGGCTACTAGCTTTGGCTTCATATCTTTGATTGACAGATAGGTTAGTGGTGTCGATTTTCTCATCTAAATCTCAGCAACTAAGTGATTACCAAAAGTTAGTTGGTTTAGCTATACCTTTAAGGTTTTACTCATGTACTCAATAACAGAACCTGACCCGGTTGTTTACCCCCCAAACAAACCTCTCAATGAAGGTGACAACAGCCTTCTGTCGGTCACATGTATTTATTCACATCCTTGTTCCCAGTGGAAAATATTTTATGACAACATCTAACATGTAACTACACACTGACTGTACAAATATGTGAGAAAACGAGACATGAATATGGGTTTTTTTTACGGCAGTGGTCTTCTGTTAATATAAAAAGAAGTTCTTGTAAATGAAATTAAAAAAATCTTACCATGCATTTCAAAACACATCACGCCACCAACATAGACAAAATGGTTTATAAACAATATTGACATAATACATCTGAATAAAAAGTTAAATGAAAGGAAGAAATGTTAAGTCATCAAATACACAGCCTAATAATAATGGGTTCTTGTAATGTCACATTGGGAACATGTTCGTTTTCTATTTGGATGTTATAATTAAGACTATGTTACTTTACTGAGATGAAAGTGGTGAAAAACATTTTATTCTATAACCTACTGTTTTGTATAATGCGGTAGCTAGTTCCACATGGAGTTGGATTCCAGTAAAAACCCATGTCGCCTGTTTTTTCCTCTTTAAAACACAAAAGGGTTTGAATCCAGTGTGGTTGTGCAACATCTTAAAGTTCCTTGACACATTCTCATCTGCCTGTACAATCCATCCAATCCAAGGCACATGGGAAAAGTCATTCAAGAGTGTCATCACTGTGTTCAGAGGTTTAACATGAGGACAGCGTACACATAGACTCTGCTGAAAACACACGAAACATCTTCCAAGACAGGGTTTAGGCAGAAACAAAAAGTGTGTGTCCAGCCTATGTTTCAGCCTCTTCTCCTTCATGTGCTGCTGGCCATGGCTTTGTTTGTGCCAAAGTTTGGTTTGGTCCTCTTCAGTGGATGCCCATGTAGCTTCCATCCATGTGAAATCTGTGCAGGCAGTGAGAAAAGAACATGTCAAACTGACTGTAGCTCAACTGTTGGAGTAGTAGTTAAACAAGAAGTGAGTGACTGCTGTTTGTGGAAAAAAAGAAAACTCAGGAATGGAAATGCAATACATCAAAAAGCCCACAGTACTTTGTGATGGCATGCAACATGATTTAGGGTTCATGAACTTGTGTTTCTAGCCTTGCTAAGCTGCAAGAGTCAGTACACCACTTGTGTCCAGCTTGAAATATGTCAACAAATGGATTGCCATGAAAATGTGCCTTGTACTTTTATTGTCCTTGAAAATAAGGCCTTGCGACTTAAGTGACCCCCTGAACTTTCCTAGAGTTGAACTTTCCAGATATTTAATGATATTTGTTTGTCATTCCTGCTTTATTCCAAGGACTGGATTCAAACATGGGCCGCTGCAGCTACAGTAGGACTCAGCCTTAATGATACTCCCTATACTACCAGGGCTACTCCTTCAGTGACATTTCTTGACATTCATTTCCCCTTCTAGTTGAATTGCTATTGCTTCAGTGATGCATCAGGGGAAAAAGTGTATATGCCCAACATCTTGGTTTCATGAGCAAATATCTGCAAAATGAATGACAGTCCCTGAGCCTTATTTTGTGTTTAGTGCTAATTAGCTAAAGTTAGCATGCTAAGATAAGATGGTGACCGCAATAGATAGTAGGCCTACATGTTCTGAATAGCATGTTGTATTTGTCCTAATGACCTAGTATTACATTCAAAACACTGCTCTGCTGAAGCACAGCCACACAGTGCTGCTCACTCTTATTGTTTGATTATGTGATATACAGAACGAAGAGGACATTCCTGAGGGTTGTTTGTCAGGTGAAAGAACATCAACATAATGAGTGGTACATTTTTGTGCAAATGCGAGGCTGTGATCTCGAAACCACAATATGAAAATGTGGATGACTTGAATAAACTAGCTACAGGTGACACACGAATGAAGATGGGATGTCAAATGGAGATGACTGGCACCACGACACAAAGCAGTCCGCTGGTCTCACCCTTAAGTGCTAGAAAGGTGGTCTGATGGTTCATCTGTACTAGCGGCCTCAGAGCCAACCACCTCAACTGACTCTGATTTTTTAGGCATTGTTTCAGACACTTTGTTTTCTGGAGGAAATCTGCACACATGAGCATTAATCATAAGTCAAGAGAGAGAGAAAGAAAGAAAGAAAGAAGGTCCTCATGATTACATTCTCTACTTTTTTTTTGTTAAATAGTTTCAGGTTACATAAGATAAAACCTCGTCACACAGTAATACAATGTGATGTTTATCCAAGGGCAGAGCAGCACACTAAACAAAGGCCTCAAACTGCAGCATGCATTACAGGAAACAGGAGAGGAACTGACATCTGTACCTGCTGCTAAACATCAACAGGGACAAAAGTAGGCTAATTATTGCATCCTTTAGACAGCAACCAGTACTTCTACTTTCATTGCACTAATAATTAAACTAAACATCCCCTTAATTCCTGGTGACTGACTAACTCCCTGTTGCATCCACAGCTCAGTGTGGAAAGTGAAGTGCATCACTCACCTGCTGTGTGAGGGACTGCGGTTGTACGGAGAAGCCGGCGCTGCAGGGTGTGTGTACTGAGGTGTGTCGGGTGTCTCGTAATCTGTCAGGCCGACTGCCAGCTGGTTGCGCCAGTTGCCTGCGCTTTCCACTGAGGACACTGCAAACAAGACACAGGCAAAAACACTCAGCTAATGTTGGAGTTGGGAGTAATTGTTGTTATTGGAAACACTCTTAAATCTATCTTTATGTCACTACTGCAAGACAAACTGTTTACCCTTCACAAGATTCTGCTGGAATATGTCATTACAGTCCTGTGCCTGCCACTTTACATGGAGACATGAAACTTGCTTAACTTGTTTCTGTTTGTTGGTCCAATATCTTGGTAATATAATTTTTAATAAATGACAAGTTCAATTTGTGCATCTAATGTCTGTTTTACTAAACGTAATCAGTTTTTATTTTTATCGTAATTATTTTAAATCAAGAAGGTAAAACAAGCTTTTATTCCAATTCTGAAAATATCCATCTAATAGATACAGTAGATTGTATTAAGCAAATAAACACTATCTCAGCCATGACAGTACGTTTTTATGTTGAATAAAAAGTCGACTAATAGCCCTACCGCATATTTATATTGTGGGCTGGTGGATCAGCATTATAAACCACCAAGCACTTATGTTTCCTAAAAACAAAGATGATTTTCCTACTGTAACTATGACTGTTCTTGCCTCTAGTGTTTTTCAATTACATTTACACAGTCACAGTCAAAGACTTAACGTCTTGGCATCCTGGAAAGAGATAAGATAAGATAGAACTTTATTGATCCCAATTTGGGAACATTTTGAACGATAAAAAAATGAAACTCTCGACTGAAACACACACAATTACAATTGTATTGAGTATGTCAGCTGCTTTTTAAGCAGGAATTTAGATAAGGGAGTATATAGAACAAAAACAAGCATCACGTGCAGGATGCTTACATAGACCCTACTGGCCTGTGTTAAAAAGAAAAAGTAGATATAAATACATTTTTGATGCACTTGTGAAGAGAACAGAAACAGGTTTTATTTCGATAAATATTTTTCAATACATGTAAATGTTTTAAACTGCTCAAAGTGATAATCTCACCTGAAGAAAAGGAGGTGGTTCTGCTGGAGTGGCTGAAAGCTGCTGGCATGGTCTGGTATCCCAGGCTGAGCTGAGAGCCGCTGTCAAAATCATAAAGCATCCCCCTCCCTCCAACCCCAGGGCCCTTGCTTCGGTGGTACCAGCCCTTCAGATGCTCCGCCACCAGGGCCTTCTGCATGTTCTTAGCCAACAGCTCGTTTCTGGGACCCTCTCTGTTTCGCGGCGGCCTCACTGTAGCGTAGGGATTCTGGGAAATACTATCTGCCCGGTCGCTGCTGTAAGTCCTGTATCTGTCATTGTACCCATTTATTTGGTAGGAAGGGTTGACGTTGTAGTGGCCCTCCACGTCATTCTCATACACGTAGGCACCATTAGCGTAAGGCTCCATGTCCACATAGTAGGCACTGGGTGCATAGTGTGATGAGGTGTCACATGAGTAACTAGAACCAGAGGGGTGCTGGACCAAGTTGGGCATACTCCCGGTGTTTCCATACACCTCCACCTTCCTGTGGAGACGATGCATGGTTGAGGTTCGGGAGTCTAGCGTACTGTAGTGGGAGTTGGGCGCCCCGCAGTAGTCCAGGCTGGACTGGCTGGTGTAGGACGAACAATCCTCCAACACCTCTGTGCTGTTGCTGCGGTGGGAAGGTGACAAGATAAAAACTGGCTTCTCTGAGTCAGAATCTTTTTTTAGCCGAGGCTGCGACTCCAGACTCCCGCTTCGATGCCTGAAGCAATGAGGAGACCCCTCGGACCTGGAGAAGCAACATCTATAGTTAATTTGTGGATGTCTGCATCAAAATAAAGGTTAGGGGTTTGCATGACAGCTTTGGGTAAAGGTTAGAGGGAAGTGGGGATAAGGGTAATGAAAAAAAGGAAATAAATTGGCGCAGCGGATCACACCTGAGCTGGCTGCTGCTGTAGGCATTGCGGGTCATAACCGGGGTGGGAGGCATGCTGCGTGGATCTCTAAGAGGTCTGGGAAGGGTTTTATAGGGACTACTGTGGGTGGAGGAGACCTCTCTTGGATTCTGGTGGTAGTGGGAAGCATCCTGGCCTTCAAAAGCTAGTCTAAAAGGGTATGGAGAGGATAACAAAAAAGAAAAGGAAAAAAGGTATGACATGTGAGGAAAGGAATGAGGCTGCAAACATGACATGGCAAATATTACAGAACCTGCCAAATGATGATATCATTGCTTTCTTTTAAGAACATCCTTTAAATTAAATCAAAGGTTTTTAAAACAAGTTACACACTTCGCACGAGAGGGATAGTAAATGCGTTTCCAAACCTGCTGTGGTTCTTGTTTAGATGATTTTCCCTCGGAGATCCACGTCTATCTACATCATATTCTATTCCCAGCGATCGCATCGGACTGAGCTGAGGGGAACCCTGGACGGACCGCGAGCGTGGCCTCTGACTGACACCATCCAAGTCATCTGAACACAAAGGAAACCCACTGTTAACAAAACTGACACCCCCTCTTTTAAAAGTAGTCTCAATGATTTGTATTATACTAGTCTAGCAGGTTGATTTTAATGCACCATAATGTGTGTTGTCTGACTCACCATCATCCAGCGGGAGACTAGCCAGCGAGCTGCAGTCTGAACGGACGAGTTCATCTGGAAAAAGAGAAGATAGCTCTCTCCATTTACTGTGCATACAACTTAATCATCCTTAAAACAGATGAAGCTGCAGCATACCTGCAATGATCACCGAGGCCCGCTGCGTGGGCTTTTTCCCCTTCTTGATGCGGTACTGGTTCATCTCATCCTCAATCTGCTGCAATTTGTGCATGGCATCCAAACAGTTTCTTCTCCTCTTCTTCTTCACAGTTTTGCACAGTTCTCCTTCATTTGCGAGCTTCTTGGCCGCCTCCACAATCTTCTGCTGCAGCGCAAATCTGCTCTCCAGGTTCCTCAGGATGGGATCCTGCAGCAAACCCCAAAAGATAACAATGAGTAAATCAGAGTTTAATCACATGATAACTACCGCTGTCACCTTTTTTCCCTAATCATTTAAAATGTGTTACGAAGTTAATCAGATTAGGTCGCCATGTCAAGTTGAGGTGAGGACCTAAATCAGTCATTTTTTTAAGATGACATTATTTATGATATTTTTTCCTCACACTGTAGATGCAATAATGTCATGTCAAGCAAATTAGTAGCTTAGTGCACAACATTTAAGCCGCAGCTGGTGCTTAAAAAAATGTAATACATGTCAAAAGATTTAATAAGGAGAGTTAAATTAACATTGCTCCAAGTACTTATCTTAAAGAAAATACAAATGTATTTATAATTTCAGGAGAATATAACATAATTACTGCAGCAAAAGTCACTTACATTTTTTTTTTCTGCAGTCAATTGTGGTGTGCAAGCAAGTATTTGCAGCACCAGAACAGTGCAGCATTGCTCATGGATGCACTTTTAATAGTTAATAATAGACAACAACTTTGCTCCATGGCAGAGAGGAATAAGCCATATCAAGTAGGATTGTTAATTGTTAATAAATGAATTGTTAGCTGTGATCATTTTTGCTTGATTGTAGAGAACTACAAGTAAAATATCACCGAGATAATCCTTTAAAGTCACATTTATCATATAGACAATAAACTGTTAAACACAGACCTCATTGTAGGGGAACAGGTCATCCAATTTGAAAGCAGTGCCAACTCGCCGTCTGACCTGTGGCGGTCTTTCTCCTGAAGAGAGGGGATACTCCTTCGGCAGCTTGCCAGTGATCTCCTGAAAAACACAAACAACGAGTTCCCTTCAATACTTACAACACATTGAACTGAGTGTAACAGCAGAAAGCATCAATCTTAATAAGGGGAGTTCAGTTAAAGGGATATGGTTGTTTAGAAAAGCGTGTATGTGCCTTGTTAAATGTAGCACCAGTGCAGAAGAAGTGTTATACAAAATGATTTCTCACCGCCTCTCTCAAGCAAATCTTCTTCAGTTCTTTTGTTTTCTTGGACAGAATATCTTGGATCTCCTGCTCTTTTTTCCTTAGATCAGAGAGTTTCTCTTTCTTCTGTTCTTCACTCATTTCAGAGTCTGCAGAACCTGTGAAAACAACATCCTTACTATTCCTGCAAACATGAAGCTTACATCTGAAAATAACCCTTATGTCATGACAGTGAGCTGACTTTCTAATATAACACCTCTACTTTTTAAAATCAGAGATCCCTGGGAGCATGGATATGATCCGAGATGATAATAATGATTTTGGTTAAACAAACATGAACTTAATAGACCCTTGCTTCATGAAGTGATATAATTACCAACCTGTAGACACCAGGCTGCCATTGCTGGCTGTGATTAAGGTTTTGTTCAGGCCTGCGTCTCCCAGTCTGTTGATTTTCGCTCCCCCGTGCTCCGTGAGATCCATGGCAATTTCCTCCACACTTCTGGCTGTTACTAATTTACCCTAAAAGAATAAAATAAGATAAGATAAGATGTACTTTATTGATCCCAATTTGGGAAATGTTTG